AGGTCTTGAACTTTTCTTGCCACATTTCTAAACCGGCACAATTCCCAACTACATCCTAAACCCTACTCTTACTATAGATATGTGTAGCTCTCACCTTTGTCCAAAGAAGACTCATTTTGCAGCAAACAAAGACTACCACAGACATCCCCGACTGGCCAAAATTCAAGGAAAAATTGGCTATGGGGTGTACATCCCTAGCTGGTGCATTTAATTTACTACACAACCCCTTCACTTCAGTCTCAGTGACCAAGGTGGAAGAGGGTAGCAAAAATAAATAAATGAATAAATAAATAATTCCAAGTACCACAGGACCAGTAAGACCAGTAAGACGGCCATGAGAAAAACCTCTGGACACGATACGGGAGCTACATCCATGCAATCTCAATCTTACAGCTGTCTTAACAAGACATTCACAGTGACAATCCAGGCTGACATGTGGGTAAGAATGGAGAGACTTTCTCAAGGATGCTCCACTAGATCGAGACCTACAGGCAACCAGTGGCTACTGAAAGAGGCAGAAGCGATCTTCTCCAAGGACAAGATCCCTGAGAGATTATCCAGTCTAACGTGGGCAGTGGGCACCTGTAAACACATACATACACCTGGAAACAACACTACAATGGTGTGTGTGTATATGTGAGTGTGTGTGTGAGTGTGTGTGTGTGAGTGTGTGTGGGGGGGGGTGTGCAAAACAACAATTAAAGAAGAGGCCATGAGTTTGAGAGGAAGTTGGGGGAATTTGGAAGAAGGAACAGTGGAAATGATGTAAAGACAGCACTCATATAAGATGCTCAAAAAATTAATAAATTTAAAAACTAAGACATGTAAATAAGAAATTCACCAGCTGTAGAGTAAATATATATATATATGTATATATATGTGTATATATGTATATATATATGTATATATGTATATATATATATATACACACACACATATGTACACACACACACACACACACGTACACACACACTTCTTTCTGAAGAGGACTGAATGTCTATTTTTTTTCACAAAACAAATTAGAAAATCCTGTGAAATGAGAAACAGAAAATAAAAGTGAGAAAAAAAAACTGCAAGAAAATTCCCAGAGGGGGGGAAACAGTTTTAGTGGCATATAATAAATGAAATTAAAGGCCACTAGTGAACTAAGGAATAACTCAGACACAAGAAAACATAAAAATGTGTGGTTTTGAGAGATCTGAATAAATACTCTAAAGTGTAGTATGGAAAGATCTGAAAAGCAGAACTGTAATGTAAAAACTGAACTACACCGAGAATAGTGTGGAGAATACCATCATCCACATAGCACGTGACTGGAATTCTAGCTTAGTGGTAGCAGAGACAGCACCTGCTTTGTGTTCACGGGCAATATTAATCTGTAGATTGTCAAAGTGCGATAATCAAACCCAGTCGTGAAGAATTTCAGCCCCAGATATAGCATGACTATATGTAGTGAGCAGCGCCTGCCATGTTTGAGCCCTGCTTGCAACATTTACTAATCAGATTGTACAAAGCCAGGCAGTGGTGGCACACGCCTTTACTCCCAACACTCGAGAGGCAGGGTTTGAGGCCAGCCTGGTCTACAGCATTGAGTTCCGGGACAGGCTCCAAAGCTACACGCGCACCCATCTCATCAACTATCACCAAGATCAGATGAGCTAGTATCTAGCTAGAATGTTCTTCGGTGATACTGGATTACTTTAAACAATTTTAAGTTGCGTATTCACCAAGGTGTTAGGAACCAGAGACTGGCTTCTTATTACAATTGATTAGCTCGCCTTGACTAAAACCCATCAAGCCCCATGTCCATGTGTGAAGAGGACACCACATAGGGGAGTGACAAAGGACACAGGAAGCTTCGGCTGCACTGTGCTCCTGTGCTCCCAAAAAGAACATCTCCATTTGCTTCATTGAACCCGGATTGGAAAGGAGCCTCGGTTCTCACCCTATTATGCAATGCCTTTATTCCAGGGCAGACACACCAGGTCTATCTCTGAGGTCTTGTGTTTATAATAGGAAACAGCCCCTGAGTCTTCTGGACCTAAATGAGGAAGGTAATGTAACTAACTGTTAACCTTTCAGCCTTGCCAAGCAGTTAGCTATGGAAATGGCAGATCTTTGACAAGTAAAGTCCGTGACTGGGTGGGCCTGGGGATTTTATAGAAGCATTGGAAACCCAGACAAGGTCTAAATCCACACAGGTGACCACAAACACAGGAGGTGTAACTAAAGTGTCTGCCACACAAATAAAAGTACATTTATTTACTCAAATAACCTATAGGCAGAATAAAATACATAACTCACATAAGAAAATACATAATTGTATGAAAGGAGCAATAAAGGCAAAATCGGTCCTTTGAAAACTAATGAATCGACCAGCCTCTGGACAAAATAATAAAAGGGAAAAATATTCAGGATGGAAAAAGAAACACAGAGATGAGGGAATGAAAAGATAAAAAGAAGCTACTCTGAGCAACTTTATGGGTGCTACTAGACTGGAAAACCATTCAGCATTGCACGGCCAACTTGAACCCATGAATGTTGTATGAACCAGCACTTTGCTCCTAGAAATGTTGCCTCCAGAAACACTTGCATGCATGCACTGAAAGCAGCATACATTAGTCCTCCAAGAATCACTGTTCAGAACAGAAAGAAAATAAGAGTGCAAAACATCTATGTGCAAGAGTATGTTTGCAATAACTCCGTGCAACATGGATCAACTGTGCAACACCCGTGTGTTATTATTACATACCTTACAAGCACTGTTGGGAAAAAAATAACAAAGTTGCAATTAAACACTTACTGTATAATACTGTGTACACAAATTCAAGAACTACCCGAGGTAAGGAAATTGCTTTTAGAAATGTGCGTTCATGCTCACATGAAGAGGTTATCGTTAAATAGAAAGGAATTCATTTAGAACAATGGTTAGGCTGAAGCCGCTCTGCAGACATGGTTCAAGAGCATTAGAAGGGGCGCACTTCTGACCTTGTCATTGAGAACGAACGTGTGGCTGTACAGTTGGCGTTTACACGGCCCTTATAGTTTTGTGTGTGAAATGGCTCAAGACAGAAGGAGTAAGTGGGGACAAGAAGAAAAGGAAGGAGGAGAAAGAGAGACAGAGAGAAATCGCTCATTAAATCATTATGCAAATTAGTGGCAGGGCAGAATGGAATGGAGGACAACCTGGACCCTCTTCTCTGCAGTGGACTGCATTTGGCAGCTTAGGGTTTCTTATACAATGCAGTGTTTTATTCTGTGAAGCTGGAGATACACCTCAGCAGTTAAAAGTGCTTGCTAGGACCCGAGTTCAGTTCCCAGCAGCCACCTCTTACTTCAACTCCGGGGTATCAGAGGATTTCTTCTGGACACCAGAGGCACCTGCACTATGGATATGCACATATTCACATAATTTAAATAAATCAAATATTTAAATAAAGATTTTGTTTGTTAGTTTTTCCAGACAGTGTTTCTCTCTGTGTAGCTCTGGCTATCCTGAAACTTGCTCTGTAGACCAGGCCGGCCTCACACTCACAGAGATCCACCTGCCTCTGCCTCCTGAGTGCTGGGATTAATGGTGTGTGCCACCACCACCTGGCTTAAATAAAGAATCTTTTTAATTTATAAATAAACAAAGAAAGGAAATGTAAAATATCGTGTTAGCAAGCAGTAAGAAGAGCTGGTAGTTTTGGAGCTGACACTGTGCAGCATGACTTCAGAATTCTTAAATGTAGCTTTAACCATGGCATGCAGTTTATACTGATTATAGATGAAATGTTACCAGCTCCCTCGCTCTCCTGTGACTATGACATCCCAGCGACAATCAACTGTAACATGGAATTGTGATTATGTTGTTCTAGTCAGAATATTGTATCACAGCAATGAGAAAGAAAAGATACCAATTATTAAAGAGAATTGAAAGTTTGATTGACAGACCCCCACAGGCTACTTTAAAGACAAAAAGAAAAATGTGCATTTACAAACACACATGTTTTTATAGCTCAAAAACAGAGTTACAACATATAAACAAACTCTTCACAAAACTCTCCTTCACATAAAGTCTCAGGTAGTGGCTTTAAATGCAAGGGGGGGGGGGAGGAATTCGTTATGTTAGATATCAATTCTCACACCACATCTTTCCTCTCTGTGTGTTAATGCTCCGTTTATTGTTAATTAGATGTACCTGTGTGAATAATTTAAGTATTAGAGAATCCAAAATACTCTTAATCCCTCATTCACCCCAAAAACAGAATAAGACAGGAAATTGCTAGCCTTCGTGGTGGACAGAGAATTGAATAGCAAAACCATATTTCACAGGAAAAAAAAATCTAAATTGACTTCTCAGGTTATGAATACTTGATTATGGAAGATATAATGCAGAAATAACCCCCATTTAAACTCATTTGGAAAAGGCAGCCATTCATTATGCCAACTCTAATGGCTGGAAAGGAGAAAAGGGAGTAATTTTGAGCTGACAGCACATACATATAGATAAATATTCTCACTTTTCTGTTGTAGAACAGAACCAGCTGAGGACCACGGTAGAGGTGGTGTCCAAATGATGGGCAGAGAGGCATAGTGCCAGAAAGAGACAAGGTCTACAAAACAATCCAAAGGAAAACTTTGCGTATATTGTGTACATATGATTAATTAAAATATGCACCGTGGAAAAACATTTCCTTTATGAAGACAAGGGCAGTCTGGAATTTCATCTTTGCTATACACCAAGTCAACATTTCAACATCACTACCCTGGAGGGAAGACAGAGTTATAATATTGTATTCATCGGACCATTTTTGCAGAATTGGCTGTAATCCTGAAAACACCGCGTTTCTCCTTTCAATGACATCTTTAAAGCAGTTCTCTGCGTTTTTACTTAAGGAAAATTGCTAGGGGGACCCCATACCTAATAAAATTGAACAGACCAGTGGAGACAGCATGGGGCAATCTGTTTAAAGGAAGCGTCCCACACTGATGGTGCAGGATGAAGCAGAACATACCTTTGTGATGGTTTGTGCTGGAAACAGCTTTTCCCCACAAGGTCACTATAAAAATTATTATCAGCAGCTTCCCTTTTGTTGCCTTCTGTAAGTATCTCTTACTCATCCTGTAACACAAAAGCGATACAATTCCTCAGAACATTAGGTCATTGCATTTCTGTAATCGTAGCACATGCAAGTCTTTCATGATACCTTGACAAAGGTATCCTCGGCGAAGGATAAATTGTCCACATTTTAAGGCAGGATCATTTACACAGAAGTGGATACCATATTATTTATTCAGTATCTCTTGTTCATTTCTATATAACTGAAAATAAGTTCTTCATTTCAGCCGTCTTTCTTAGTGCAGGCTGTTAAGATTCACTGGAGTCTGCTGAACTTTGTTCAAGCATCTAGACACAAAAAGGGAGGCGTAGTCAGCAGATCTGGATCCAGGAGCTACTTCTTCTACCCATTCACTACTTTAAAGCTACTCTTCTGGAGTCTCATATATAAAATGGAGTTGTAATTCATTCAGAGTTTAATTCAAAGACCCAACCTGAGAGATTAATGAAATGTTGAATGGATGAGTAGATTTCTAACATAAAACTGTAAGTGCATATGTAGCAATATCCAAGTCCTCACAGTATTCCCATCTTTGTGTAATTCCCCCTTAAGGAGCATTGTCCTAGACTCAAGATCTTGGGACATAGTACATTAATGGATTTGATAACTAAACTCTGAAATCTGAAGTGCCTGTATTTTGCTACTCTATCCAGGAATATGCCTTTTCTGGGTTTTTTTTTTTTTTTTTTTTTTTTTTTTTTTAGGTACTGCTTCACATTCTGCCTTGTAAGTTCTTAGATCCAGGATAAATTCCTAAAATGCAGTATAAGTCCTTATCCGTGATTAAAGCATTCATGCTTTCAACATTGTTTCTCTGTGACTGAGTCTTAGATGATTCCTAGGCAGGATTTTTTGTTCCAGACAACATGTAGAGACCAGCAAACTCTGTTCCCCCACTTTGTGTCGGATGCTTTACACTCTGGTTTATTTGTTATTTACAACCGTTCTACCAACACATATTAGTGTTCATGCATTCCATTATGTGGCCGCCAGAGTCAAAGTTGTCAAATAAACTTCACCAATTCATTTAACTACTTTGTCTTGGGGCTTAGGACCACATTTGAGTTAAGTATTTCAGACTTACATGCCTGCCCTCCGAGGGTCAGACCTTTGGAGAAATGATAACACCTCACGTATATTCTTCTAAGTTCAAATGTCACACAATCTCCTATCTCTTATAGTAACATTTTTCTGAGGGAATGGATGCCATCCCGTCTTATAGATATACAAAGAGGGCAAGTGTCTCAGTTATAAAAGCAGATGAGCACGAATGTAGCTCAGCCTTGATCACTTCAAATGCCTTTTCTCGTGCGCCCATGTATCTTAGATTGCTTCATCATTTTCCTTATAGTTTTTGGTTCTGTTTTGAGTATTAGAGCTTGGAACCTTAGAATATTGCATTTTTTTTTCTGGAGAGATGTTTTAAATGATGATAGGGTTCTTTGCCTTAACATTTCAACCTGTAGGTGGCAAAGACATTATAAAAATCAAACCAAAAAAAACTGACAATTAGGTCTTTGTTCTGCTAGGAATAAATCAATAGTTTTCCTGTGCCCACAAAATTGCAGTATTGTGAGGAGACGAATACAATGCAATAGGTCCATCTTAACACATTGACAGAGCGGCTATGCTGAGAATTTAAAGCACCTGTTTCAGCTCAACGGGTTTGACAGTATGGTTTCAAATCCTAGTGTGATGATGGATACGTGACATTGATTGAAAAAATTAATGGTAACAGATGATTAATATAGAGCATCCTACTTCTGGATGATATACAACATAGTAAAGCTAGTAGAATCAAAGTGATTTCTGAATTTGTTTTATGTATTCTTTTGCATTAAACATAAGCACACCCTCATACTGTTTCAGTTATATCTAAGATTATTTCTGATGTGATTATGTGTTTTGTGTGTGTGCATTTGTGTGGGAGCATGTGCATGTGGCTATAATTGCCTGTGGAGGACACAGCCCCGGAAGCTGGAGATAGAAGTTATTGTGAGGGGTCCAATGTGAATGCTGGGAACCGAACTTTGGTCCTTTGTAAGAACAAGCTCTTTAACACCCTAAGCCATTTCTCCAGCATGCCTTGTACTTTAATATCCATCTATATCTATTTAATGTCTACCCTCTGTGTATCTTTTATCTGTCCATATCTTCCTGTATTTGTCTAATATATATCACGTACATGTGTATATGTATTTCAATACTGAAAGAGGACTTATTTTAGGTAACAAAGTTTTTTGAAAGAAAAAGCTGATCTCTTTCCATCTCTTCATCTCCTACCTTCTCTTTGTGTTTTGCTTTCTGTTATCCACCAACATATATACTATTTTTATTGTCAGCATTCCTAGTTGGCATATACAGTGGGAAGTTAGCCATTAGGTTGACAGATGTAATGAAATATCTTCACTACAAAGGATTCAACTCATTTATGCTGATAAAAATTAACACCATTTATTCACTGAAATTATCTTGATGTCTCTGATCCATGTGATGTTCTGGTTGCTCGGGCAGTTACTCATAGGTAGAATTTCTCACTACAATGAAGTTATAATTTAACAGGAAAAGAAAGTACACGTGTAAACAAAGGTGTAGAAGAAACACTTTGTAATAGTTTAAAAGATACCATGGGATTTCGGAAGACAGAGCCTAAAGGCGTTTGCCTAGATTCTGGAGGGCAGGATAGGCAGCAGTGATGTCTGTGTGGGTAATTATAAAAACTAGAATACTACACAAAGACTGAGGAAGATGCTACAGTGCAAAGCAAAGGTTTAGAGCAAAATTTGGCATAAATGAGAGCAGGTGACCAAGTTGGAATGCCAAGTGCAAAACCAAAAATGGTACCCGAGGTTAGGAAGGTTGGGTGAGGAGATGGTAAGACTTTTCTTCTTGAGCAGGAAATTTGGATTTTACTATCCCTCCTCTACATGGGCAAATTGAAGACTTTAAAGCAAAGGATGCTGCGGTGGTATAACATGATTGACATCTTATAAAGACCATTTTGCTATCTAGAAGGAGGGCCCATGCCTTATCAATTGAAGCAGCCCATCCTGAAGGGCACATTGCTATGGTAGGCTTGCTTGTCAGAGCCTTTGCCATTGTTTGAACAGTGGGCCAGTGCAGAGACATGTCATAATTAAGCCTACTAAATATTTTGTCTTATGTGATGTTTATTTCCATACGAATATCTGCAGCCAAGATGAGGTTAGGTGGTGGACTGCAGGCCCCAGATTGAACTTCTACGCTGTCCTTTATTTTTACTTCATTATCTTTCGTAGACCAGTTAAGCTCACTTTCTGTCTTCATGAGGCATTTAATTTTCTGGTAGGAAGTTTTAAATGCTTGCTTGATCATAAGTCATGACTTTTTCTTATGGGCGGGAGTGGACGGACCACAAAACACATCCAGAAGTCTAACTCTCAGTGACTCAACGGAAACCTGCTGTAGCACAGAGGCGAAGGGTGAGAGACAGTCCAGGAGATTTTTCAGCCTTCACTCCAGCATCCTTCATTGCCAAGGTTACCGGTTCTCAATTATCTCCCATGCCCCTTGCTCCTTGCAAGCTGCTGCTACTCAGGCAGCAATTTCAAGGGATCATCGTCTATGCACATTTTTCCATTAGCTTGCAGTTTCTATTCACTTGGTTTTTGTGGTTGGCAATTCACTGGAATTTTACTGTTTTTACAGATGAATGTGACAATCTAATCTGTGGTAGAAAACTTTAATTTGAAATCTGGTGGGCAGAGATAGCAAAAAGGCTGCTTCCTCCTCTGCTCTTTCTTGTACGAGGGGGAGACAAAATGGACCCCTTAAACTCCTGCTCTTTGCTTTGTCCCTTTGTCAAATATTATTAATCACCCCCATTACACCGTTTTTCAGATCGCTTCTTCCTATTTCTCTGTCTGTCCTCAATCCTGATTGTCACCTCCTAGCTACATGCTAAAGGGGTGGTTGGCATATGCTTGCTTCCTCCTTGTGTTGAAAACTACAGAACATACTTGGCTGAAATTTTCATCCGATATTCAACAAATATGCATTTACCCGTCATTAAAATAGAAATTGGATCACACCATGCATATTTCTGTGAGTCACTGTCTCTATACACAGAATTCCTATATTAGACTGGATCGAGATAAACAAATGGATTGTAACTCAGTACAGTGAATGGCCAGGGTAGCAAAAGGATAGGCAGCATGGCCCTGAATAAACCCTATAGGGGGGATCCTAAACTGTGTGGCGTTTAGTTGATGATGTCTAACCAAACAATGAATATTGCAAATGTAGCTGGAGAGGTCAGATGCACACTTTAAGCATGTGTATGTAGAGGTAGGAAATCTGGGGAGGTCAGATGCACACTTTAAGCGTGTGTATGTAGAGGTAGGAAATCTGGGGAGGTCGGATGCACACTTTAAGCATGTGTGTGTAGAGGTGGGAAATCTGGGGAGGTCGGATGCACACTTTAAGCGTGTGTGTGTGTGTGTAGAGGTGGGAAATCTGGGGAGGTCGGATGCACACTTTAAGCGTGTGTGAGGAATACTGTATGGGAGGAGATAAGGCCAGCATACTGTGGCCACTGAAAAACTTTGGTGGCCTGCCTTGTTTTGTCATAATAAAGTAGGTTAAGTGTGTACGTGCACATGGAATCTGTTTACCTTGGCTCTGCTTTAGCCTCACCATTGTAGTAGCTTAAAAAAAGGAAGTTGGAATTATAACATTCTGGGTCAAATATTTACTCTATCATTAAATATGACCTTAAAGTTTTTTCTAAATTCTATCAGCTACTAAACGAGGATGAATGTCTTACTCTGAAGAACAAGAGAGCTACTTACTGTGTAAGGAACCTGACAAAATAGACACAATGTTTTTTCATAAAGAAGTAGTTACCATTTTTAATTTTCATAGTTGTATGAGTTCAGTTTGAAAATGCTACTTTTTTTTTTTAATTTGGTTTTTCATTTTTCTTCTACTTCTGGTAAAGTATGGTAAGTTGAGTTCAACAGCA